GGCAAAATGGGCGGTGACTATTAGACGCCTTCATTATAGCCATCTTTCTCTATCGCACGGATTTCTATGACTTTCTTTATCGCTCTCACGTAACGGCCGATTAACCGTGGGGACTTTCCAACCCTGTATACCTAATTGTATATGTGTAACAGTTCGAGCATTTCCATAAGTGCATTAGACACAGTTTGAAATGAAAAAAATTAATAAATTTTGAAGGTTGAGTTTAAAGAAATTGTAACTGATAATTTAGAACTGATAATTGTCTATAAATAGTGTAGTTTCTTCAACATACAGGTACATTATTGTGTGCCCCCCCCCCCAAGTATTGAAAATAATTTTTTCCAAAAAATATGAAGGACCATTCTCGAAAACGGTTTCGGTACCAAAAGTTTATAAGTAAATATTTTATTTATTTTTATCCTTAAAGTTTCTACACTTCCTCGTGATGCATATGTTTAATTTGATAGAAAATATAACAAATAAATATGTAATAAATACAAAACAACTTTCTGTAAAAATTTCTACTGTGAAAATTTTTTATTTGTACAGAAAAAACGCAACACTTTTCTATTTTATTATCAGTACTGGTCGAATAAAAAAATGTGCTAAATATTTATTTATATCTTCATAAAACAAACTTTTAACTCTATGGATTTCACGTCGGTGTATATTCGTAGAAAAGATAGATAATGTGAAAAAACATAAAAACAGAAAAAATTCTTTCTACGTTTTCACAATGTACGACATGACCACGAAATTTTATTAGCGTATAGAAGCAAAAATAATATCCCGTATTTAATTCAAGTTTCATGAAATAATTTAAAATTACGTGTTTAATTATTGTTACATTACTGAAAAAGAACCTCTGTTGTTAATAATAATTAACATTTTGATATATGAAAAAGAATAATATAATTATTTAACAGAAATGTTTAACAGTTTAAGGCAAATGTCTAGAATTTCTAGGATAAAAAACACATTCAATTATCGAAATAATTAATATTCGTTTCAGAATTGAGTTCGAGAAATTTTAGTCGTAGAGGAAACAAATGACGTCTTGCAGTTAGTACAAATTCGAATAAATAATAACTTTTAAAAAGGTGTAAAATATTAAAGTTAAAATTGTTCTTACCATTTTGAACGGTCAAAATAACACGGCTGCTGTTTTAACGACGAAGTACGAATTATCCTTTTTCTAATCTGTGATATGAATCAAATAAATTTGAGCGGCATGCGGCATGGTGAAGAACCTAATAAAGGCACAAATATACGCAAGTGACGCAAGTATTCGCCGTTAGTCTAGTTCCAGTTAGTCGGGATGCCAATAGACCTTTTTAGTAGTGACGTCACATACGTCAAATAATAGGCAACCCCATAGTGCACATTATTATCATGAAGAATTTCTCAATATTTTTACTAGATCGATTTTCGACCTTATGTACTTTGGACATAAATGCCAAAAATTGGCTTCTTTGTAAATATTGCGATATTCTGGCAATATTAGAAATATTTAAGAAGTTTCAAACCCCAAGTGACAAAACTAGTAGAATTATAGAATTTATATATATTTAAATTTATAGAAAAATTTTGACTTTTATAGTAGGTAATTAATAAACCAATGTTATTGAGCATGAGCTTTAAAGATAATTTCATGTAAGCGAAGTAGCCTCGCAACAGGATATCAGTCAAGGAAAGTTTGGTTATGGTTACGAGTACGAATAAACCACTTGAAGAAGAAACACTCGATAAATCCACTTGCACAGTACAACACCTAGAAAAACAATAGCAATACTTAGTAGAACTCGAAAATGACAAGATTAAACAAAACAAGAGAAAATACGCTAATGGTGACAGCGATAACATATCAACAAGAGCTCACCTGCATATGAGGTTATTCCTCCAGAACATGCATGAGCATTAGGAATAACACAGCTAATGTTAAATTTTTACTTTATTTAAATTTAGGAATATTCTTTTATATCATTTTTGTAAGTGTTAAGCACGTATTGGATGTTCTTAAATATTTCCAAATACCTTTAAAAATAAATTAATTTGAAATTGTTCAATTTTATAGTTTCTATGTAAATAGTACACAAGGGTCAGATTCGGTCTGTACAATTTCAACCTTGACAATTTGTTGCGGGTTGCCTATACTCCGTGGTCGAAACTATAGAGAGTGACTCATCGCTAGCTTTTGGACTAGTAAGGGGGATGAAGCGTGCAGGGAACGAAAATCCAATGGCGTATCTGCGTAAATAAAGGCAACAAGCTATAGAAAATATGGCAAAAAGATATTAAAACATAACATCTAATACTTTTTTACGGTTTGTTAATAACCGGCACTTTGATTCATTTTAATTATTACAGCGTTTCAAAACGTCCCGGTTGTTTTTTTAATTTATAAATTTATTCTATCCATGGAATTAGACCCCTCACCTACGCTTATGCTATGACGTTTCTAAAGACGGGTAAATCAAGTCCGTTTACATCCACTAATAAAGCATTTCTCTATTCCCTACCAAGTGCAAAATACAAAGATCGACGTTCAGTGTAACTCAGCCTGTAGATAGATTCTATCGATGTGCGTAGCGAGCGGCACAAAGACAAATAATATTGAACCATTATAAATATCATTTTATATTTTATACGCGTTATATGGTAATAGTTTTTTATTATGTCGGAGTCACTCTCTATAATTTCTACCGCGGGGTATAAATATGTGACGTCACACTAAAAGAGTCTATTAGAGCATATTCTCGTATGTACTACATTGGGAAACCACCGCGTGTTAGAAGTGTAGACGTTGCAGAGACAAAGGGTTTGGGTACTCGCTCTCTCTCTATCTCTACACTAATTAGTATTTTTTTTTCTCTATTACTCGTCCACACTGTCGCCGTAAGCGTGCTTCTACATGTAATATATGCTCTAAGGGATGATAGGATGTTTGTAGCAAATAATCTTGCGAAATATCGCTCGACGTTAAAATCCTAAGCGATTATGTTTTGTTCCTAAGCGTCTGTTGTGGTTGACGTGAAGGGCGAGACGCCTGAGCACCCTGAAAATTCCTTTGCAGGCGAATAAGCGATTAACCCCAGGCAAAAATGGAACAGGAAACCGTCTCTCAATCCGATCCCTCTTTCCTAATCTAAGGTATAAATGAACATGAAATGAACTTCTCAACATGCTATAACCTCACCCCTCACTTCCACCCCTAAAATAGGGATGAAAATATTTTCATTAATTTTTCCTTAACTTGTTTCAATTGAGTATCGATTCCACCAGAATGTGTCTTAATTTCACTGTATTTATCGAAGATATAAGATTTTTGAACAAAGAAATTCGATTTTCACTTATTTCACCTATTCACCCTTCATTTCCACCCCCAAAATAGGGGATCATGACATTCACAATAATTTTCCCTGTCTGCATCAAATAAGCTTTAATTTAAAAAATGCGCCGCCGGGAAAAGGTTAACAAAAAAACATATACACAAAAAAAAACCTGTATAATAACACAGCCACACACAAAAAAAAAAGTTGGGTATACTTTTTATGCGACATATATTTTTCGTAGTAATTTGGCCTCCTCAACACGAATCTGGGATCAGAATTGGCCCATCACGTCACAATTTTTTCCTAACCTCAAAAAACTTGTGAAAAATAGTGAAAATTGATGAAAATTTACTGGGAAAATTTGGAAAAAAATTTATTTCCACATCAAATAGTACATTTTTATGTAAAAGACTCTGCTGAATTCAAATCCACTGTCANCTTTTCAGGACACAAATCAATTCAGCCAATTACGGCCATTTTCCGAACTACAAAAAAATTATGGAGAAGTTCAATAAAACTGACGTCAATTTCGCTCATGTTGAAAAAATTGATATTTTGATACAAGCTTTTGAAAATCGTTTTGTAGACTTCAAAAAAGTTAAACCGCTATTGGACATTTTCAGCAATCCTTTCAACATTTCACCCGAAAATGCGCCGGAATTAATGCAGCTGGAATTAATAGACATGCAAAATGATGATAATTTAAGAAACAAATTTAATGAAGGTAATTTACTCAACTTCTACCGTTGCGTTGATAAAAACGCTTATAAAGAGTTGCGAATAAATGCATTGAAATGCGCAAGCTTATTTGGATCGACGTATATTTGTGAACAAACGTTTTCAGTGATGAAACTTAACAAAACGAAAAACCGAAACCGTCTGGCAAATGAAAATTTGGAAGCAATTATACGTGTGGCTACAAGTAATGTGGAGCCAAATATAAAAAAACTTGTTAGTTCAATGCAATGTCATGCATCAAAATAATAAAACATGAAATATTACATTGTAATGATTACATAATTATTACAACAAACATTTTTGAAAGTTATTTTATTGTTATCATTGTATTTCATACTATTTAAAAATAAAAAATTTTGAGTTAATAAATATTGTTTGTAGTGGCCCGTCCTTGACTTATATTTTTCCCGAGTGGCCCCTGTACCCTATAAGTCTGTGCATCCCTGGGTTAAAGTCACACATTGTCCGCTCTCTAGTTATAACGTTATCGATTTCGAGCCGTTATTCCCATCACTGGTGTTTATGATTATCTGGGACATTCATAAATAAGCATAGTGATTGGTGGGGGTATCTTACAGCTTAGGAATGCACTTTGCAGTCATGTTTACTGTGTATCCCTAACCCTAACACCCCAACCCCCATTATTTTGCTTTTGAAATTTGTAAAGTTGTAAAAAATTAGCTTTTTCTACCTGTTATCTACCTACCTATTTTAATAATAATGATCTAGAAAAAAAATTTCCCTCATTTATAAAATTTTTAAAGGTTCACTGCCACTACCGCCTTATAGTGCCGCAGTAGAGGAACAACTCGGAACGGACTGGCGCCGATGCCGCAGGGAAAAGGTTAACAACAAAACAGCATAAAAAACACACAAAAAACTGGTATAATAATCGTTCCAACCAAGCATAATTACTTGAAATAAAACACATTTTAAATTACAAAAAATATATTTTGATAAAATTCATGCCTAAAAACAGATCCAAATATTGCAAAATTACACTTTGGGTCCTTAATCCACAAAAAACTGTAAGTACTAATTTAAAATAAGTATAAAAACGACTTAAGTACCAATTCATAAATTTGGTTTTGATCACTGCAAAATTACACAGATACTGATTCTAACGTCGCAAAAAAAAACACTATAATATATTTCCCCCTAATGATATAACTGTTTTGCTGAAAGCGAGTTTATACATTACTGACCAGTCAACAAAAAAAAATCAATCTAGTATCTGTAATGATCAGGCTTGAACGGTCCGTTTACTGGCACCCCTAAATACTTGGACTGTTCCTGCGTCAACTTCGTTAATTTCACCCCTAAATGTTCCAAATGAAGCCTAGCTACTTCTTCGTCGAGAAGCTTGGGTAACATGTGAACGCCAACTGCGTACTGTCCTGGTTTCGTCCACAGTTCGATTTGAGCTAGAACCTGATTCGTGAAAGAGTTCGACATGACGAACGACGAATGTCCCGTAGCACAACCTAAATTGACTAAACGGCCTTCGGCGAGCACGATAATGTGGTTTCCGTTTGGCAGCAAGTATCTGTCTACTTGTGGTTTGATAGCGATTTTTTCCTTTGAGTTTTTCTCCAACCAGGCTACGTCAAGCTCGCAATCAAAGTGACCAATGTTGCACACGATGCTGTCATTTCGCATGTTGTTGAAGTGTCGCTCCAAGATTATGTCTTTGCAGCCCGTTGTCGTTACGAATATTTGGCCCTCTTTGGATGCTTCGTCCATAGTTGTTACCTCGTAACCTAAATTGCATAAAACTATTGTGTAAATACAGAACAACATCCTATTTATGGCCGGTTTACCATAAAATTTAACTGTACTGTTTATCTAAATCAAGTTTGGTTACTAAAAGATGAGAGACTCGAGTGGCTGGTGTTAAGCAATTTAGTTAAATCCAGTTTAATTTCTTATGATAAACCGGCCCTGGCCCTTATAATGCAAAATTCTGGAAAATTTATTTATAGGAAATACCCTGGAGATATATAATAAAAACTTAACTAATGGTTGTGAGAACTTATAATTCAGAAAAATTAAAAATGTCATTAGCACATATACCTTGCTGACATAAAGTGACTTACTAATCTGTAGGTGCTATAAATACATGATTAGTATCGCATTAAATGGAATGAACTTTTTAATTAATGACACTATGGAAAACAATTCCATGGGCTGTATGCTCTGGTTGGCATTGAATTAGACTACCAATATCCAGTAAGTTGATAGATTCATCAGACATAGACTGTTTTGAAATTTAGAAATGATTATTAAGCAAAATATAATTATTTTTAGTTGTTTCACATAAAAAAATACATTTAATGTTTTGGAGTAATTTATTTTCCGTTGGTGATAAATTACTATTATTTTTTAATTGCATAATTTTTACGAAACAATTATTGTAATTAACAGACGATTTAGCCTTATTTATATTGCACAATTGATAAATTTGAATATATTTTTCAGTTAATTTCTAAATATTAAATGTGTTTTTTTCTCAAAAACCGTTAATGTTATCGAATTAAAATAAGGACATTTTTAGAAGATTTTTTTTTATGATTCATCAGAAAAAGGTTGTTTAATTTTTAAGAACAACTTGTTGCCCATAAGTGTGTATAATTAAAAAATATATATAATAACTAAAAAAGTTATAATCAATTATTTATTTAAAAAAATAACTGAAGTTAGTTGAACTCTGTTAACATTAAGTTTTTGAAAAAGTAGAACTTTGTTTCATAATTTTTATAAGTAGAATCTCCCACTAAACTTTTTGCTCACAGCTTTCAGACATACTATACAGGATGTCGTAGAAATAAATACCAAAATTTTACCACATATTCAATTCATCAAAAACAACTTTTATTTAATATACAGGGTGTCCTGAAATTAATGCAACAAAATTTGGTTACAGATTCTTAAGATAAATTTAGGAGACTCGTATTTTTTATTTTTGCCAAGTGGCCCTCTCTTTTGGAGTCCCCTGAAATCCAGCCCTAAGAATAATTTTTTTTTATATCTCAGAACCCTGTTGTACGAGTATCACTGAATTTGGTACAAAAGGGACATGTGGAATCTGATGGTGTCACGCTTAAGACAATTTTTCGTGGGCCACGTGGGTCTTTGGAGTCAAAAAACTTGGTCACAAACAGGGTGTCACGCTTAAATGTGATACAAGCCTGTAGCTTCTTTATTTTTTGACCGAATTCAAAATTTTTTTTTTAGAATGTAGGATAAAAAACTATCTAACTGTAGCACTATTGTTTTTATTAATGCAATTCACGGTCAACCAGGACTCGTTTTTTGACGTCGAAACAGCTAATTGGTATTAGCGATTTTTTTTCCAAAAAACAGATTTACTTATTCTCATTTAGCATCCCTTAAAATGTCTTACCACCAAGTTTGATCAAATTCGATACATCTTCAGATGAGCACTAGTTGGGCATGCATTGCATTAATAAAAAACAGCAGTATCAGAGTTAGATAGTTTTTTTTTTCTTCACACTCGAAAATAACAATTTTTCAAATCGGTCAAAAAATAAAGAAGTTACAGACTTGTATCACATTTAAACGTGACACCCTGTATTTAAATTTCTTAAAAATTATTAGTCCGTTAGAAAGCCATTAAATTTAGAAACGTCTTTATTTCTTGATACTTTTTTCGTAAACCGCAATGTTTTCGAGAAAAATGTCAAAATGTGATTGAATGCATATCATGATTCGCCATTTTCCTTAAAAACATTGGATTTTACAAAAAAAATATCGAGACAAAAAAGTTTCTCAATGCAATAGCTTTCTAGCTAAAAAATAATTTTTAAGAAATTCAAATTTGCGGTTAAATTTTTTTTGGTTCTATAGACAAGGGGGCCCTCGAAACAGTCTCTTAAGGGGATTCCCCGCCAAAACACGTAGCACTATCACATTCCAAATGTCATAAAAACCCCTGTGTACCAAAGAGTGACCGCAAAATCGGCCTGTTTTTGAGACTGACAGAGGCGACAGGAAAAATCCTAAAAATATCCAAAAGCTCATCACGAAAAATGAAAATGAGCATCACTTTTAGTTTTTCGAAAATTTTCGAAAATCACCCTTATTTAGGGGTTGAAAAGACAAAAAAAGTGAACAAAATAAGAATCATCAACAGTTGTAAAACCTTAAATATTTCTATGTTGTTATCAAAATAATATTATGAACGTAAAAATATCTAATTTTGTATTTGATACGGTCTTGTCCGGATTGAAAATCAACCCTTAATATACCCTAAAGAGGTGAAATTATCCCCTAAACGCCTTAAAATGCAAAAAATATATCAAGAGGTACAATTTTTTTCTTTTTCTTTTATATGTGCTAATTGAACCGTTAATAACCCACAATCACTAGATCCGAAGGAAAATACCCCTAAATGAAGGTAAAACCTTAAGTTCAACCATAAAGGGTGATTTCCAAAAATTTTTGAAAAACAGTAATGCTCATTTTCATTTTTCATGACGAGTATTTTGATATTTTTAGAATATTTTTAGGATTTTCCCTGTCGCCTCTGTCAGTCTCAAAAACAGGCAAAAAAATGGCTTTTTTGGGGTCACTCTTTAGTGATTCTCGTACAAGGTTCTGAGATATAAAAAAGACTATTTTTAGGGGCAGATTTCAGAGGGCTGTAACTCTGAAAGAGGGGGGGGGGGCACTTGGTAAAAAGAAAAAATATGGGTCCCTTAAATTTGTCTTAAGAAGCTATGACCAAATTTTGTTGCATTAATTTCGGGACACCCTGTATTATTATGACACACAATTTTGCAAGGTATCTTATAACCATTACAATAACACTATTCTAAATACTGAATATTATCACTAAATAGTTTCCATTTTATGTGCTTGTTTTGTTTATTATTAACGAAACTATGAGTTCGACTTATGCTTCAATAGTAACAAAAATACAAAATTTGGAGCAATTATAGCAAGAGGCTTTTTAAAAAAATGATTAGACAAAGGCTTTTGCTTTAAATTTGTTGAACATATTAAAATTTTGGCAATTGAAATTAAAACAAAAAGGTGGACTCAAATTCAAAAAAATGATTCCACTTTCTTAATATAAATATGTCATTCTACCTAAAATAAATCAGCCTTTAGTCAGCAGTATAAGAAATTGCTGAAATGTTGGCCATTTTTAGGGGTGGATCAAAAAAAAATTCCAGAAAATTTCTCTATTTTCCTGTTGGTGGGTAATTTTGGGAAATCGCGGGAATAATTTCTGAGATAAAGAAAATGTACTAGATAGTTTTTGAAAATTTCAAATTTGTGATGTTCTTCAAAAATGAAAGAATCCATTTTCGAAATCGTATCACCAAGTCCAAGTGTCTTTTAATAACGTACCTTCCATAGCTGCTTGTAAAGCATTAATAGGATCGATTTCAGTAATAATCACTCTTCCTCCAAAGGCCCTTAAAGACTGAGCACATCCCTTCCCCACATCACCGTATCCAGCAACGACACATACTTTTCCAGCAAGCATAATATCAGTCGCTCTCTTGATGCCATCTATCAATGATTCCCGACAACCATACAAATTATCGAATTTGCTCTACGAATTAAAAAACAAATTTCAAAATAAAAATAAATAGACAACACACTCTCACTCACTTTCGTTACAGAATCATTGACGTTAATAGCGGGAACCTTCAAGGTGCCCTCTTTAAACATTTTGTAGAGGTTGTGAACACCAGTCGTAGTTTCTTCGCTGATACCTTTGCAGTCCTTCAGATACTGAGGATATTTCTTGTGCACTAAATTAGTTAAGTCACCTCCATCATCAAGAATTAAGTTGAAAGGTTTTCCGTCGGGAAATAAAAGGGTCTGTTCAATGCACCAGACATACTCTTCATCGGTTTCGCCTTTCCATGCATACACTGGCACTCCAGTCTTTGCTATAGCGGCAGCAGCATGGTCTTGCGTGCTGAAGATGTTGCAACTAGACCATTGCACCTAAAATAGTTTTAGATTTTTCCAAAGGATTTTTCATTATTTTTGTTAACCTTGCATTGGAATATGTTTAAAAATATATACTGGTATTATGTACGTTTACTTATTTACATATTGCACATTGTTTTATTATTGAGCAATTCAATAAAACATATATTGAACGTGTTGTAACAAAGTCCATGTTGTTATTTAAAAATGTAAAAACAATTTTTATGTCTCTAGGTGAAAGGCTATATCTAAATATATTTTACAATGAAAAGGTCACTTTAGAGATAACAGATAACCCAAAAGGTTATTTAAAATTTATGTTAAAAGTGCTTTATCATTCTAATGACTTGAATTAGCATTTCTTAAAAAAAATGAAGATTGCTGAAAGATAGGTAAAACACTACAAAAAGTTTTATTTATTAAATAAATTGCTGACAACAAGGTCCTTTGTGCAATTCAACAAAAATATTAAAATAAATATTTTTTCAATAAATGAAGAAATAATAGTTTTACAGCTACACGATTTGCCATATTTTTTAATGGACGTACATCAGATGTACAATGCAATTATAAAGGCACAGGACTTACCTCTGCACCTAGTTCTACAAGAGTTTCAATTAATACAGCAGTTTGTATAGTCATATGGAGACATCCTGCTATTTTGGCACCTTTCAATATCTTATTATCTGCATACTTCTTACGGAGGCTCATCAATCCTGGCATTTCATTTTCTGCCAATGTAATTTCTCTTCGCCCCCATTCAGCTAGTTTCAAATCAGCTAAAAAATTGGTTTAAATTAAATTGAGGATTTTCGATCCTTATTTAATAGATATAAAAAAAGCCAATGTTTACTTATTTTCCTAAAATTACTACGCAATAGTTGGTACAAGTTGCATTAAGAATGTGGTAATTAATAAGTATTTTCCATTTAATTTCTAAGAAATTTTCATCAGTCAAGAAAACATAACCCCTTTCTAAGTGCACATGTTGCTTGATTAAAATAGAAACTACCTATTCTAGAACTACACTTACCAACTTTATATGGTGGTTTGGACATTTTCATAAATTATTTCTGATATAATAATTTCACTACACTTCTTTTAAAGAAATGCCAAAGCAAAGCCGCTGTAACTAAATATCAAATAAAAACCGGCGCCACAAGACGACCCACTTTATTTTTATTGGGTACGTTATTGTGCAGAACGTGCTGCCATCTCGTGAAATGAATAGCAATAATTGAAAATTTCAGTAGTACCAATTCATTTAATTGGAATAGAAATATAAATACCTTTCCTTTATGGAAATACCATATAAAATAAAAATATTACAGCCTGCAGAGTGGACAAATGACAAATATATGCAGAATAATTAAATTGATCCTTCTTATGTTAATATTGATTGTTTTATATAAAATAAATATACAGGGTGGTCCTATTGCCTCCAAATATTTTCAGGACGGATAATAAATAAGGGTCCATTTTTTCAGACGGTGAATAATAAGAAAAAATATACTTTCATAAAAGGAGATGGTAGATGTTATATTTTTAAAAATGTTCGTACAAAATATGATCTACACAGTCTCCATGTACACAGTTTAGTTTCGGATTATAAGTCAAATACTTAGTCGGTACCTTAGAGCATATACTACTGGAGGCAGCGTCTCAGTGGCCGAGAGTGTAGCGGAGNCAATAGTTGGTACAAGTTGCAATAAGAATTCTAAGAAATTTTCATCAGTCAAGAAAACATAACCCCTTTCTAAGTGCACATGTTGCTTGATTAAAATAGAAACTACCTATTCTAGAACTACACTTACCAACTTTATATGGTGGTTTGGACATTTTCATAAATTATTTCTGATATAATAATTTCACTACACTTCTTTTAAAGAAATGCCAAAGCAAATCCGCTGTAACTAAATATCAAATAAAAACCGGCGCCACAAGACGACCCACTTTATTTTTATTGGGTATGTTATTCTGCAGAACGTGCTGCCATCTCGTGAAATGAATAGCAATAATTGAAAATTTCAGTAGTACCAATTCATTTAATTGGAATAGAAATATAAATACCTTTCCTTTATGGAAATACCATATAAAATAAAAATATTACAGCCTGCAGAGTGGACAAATGACAAATATATGCAGAATAATTAAATTGATCCTTCTTATGTTAATATTGATTGTTTTATATAAAATAAATATACAGGGTGGTCCTATTGCCTCCAAATATTTTCAGGACGGATAATAAATAAGGGTCCATTTTTTCAGACGGTGAATAATAAGAAAAAATATACTTTCATAAAAGGAGATGGTAGATGTTATATTTTTAAAAATGTTCGTACAAAATATGATCTACACAGTCTCCATGTACACAGTCTAGTTTCGGATTATAAGTCAAATACTTAGTCGGTACCTTAGAGCATATACTACTGGAGGCAGCGTCTCAGTGGCCGAGAGTGTAGCGGAGTTTTAGAGAGAGCGGAATAGGCAGGTATTTGCTCTCTCTCTAGCAGCACGCGATTGAATGTTGCTAGAGAGAGATAGCATATACATTCCTATACCCATCTCTCTCTAAACCTCCTCTACACTCTTGGCCACTGGGACGCTGCCTCCATTAGTACCTATGTGCTCTAAGGTCGGTGCCTACTTTAAAATTTTCCGTTTTTTTTCGGTTATTTTTTAGGACCAAGGCATATTGTAAGATTAGATTTTTCTAGATTTATGGTCAAATTTTGTGTTAATTCATAAATATTTAAAAGTCGCAAATCTAGAAAGACGACTATCTCTGTTGGTTTGCGACTATTGTGCACTGATTCAACTGGGTCTGTGCAATGTTGATTTTGTTTATTATGAAGGGCACAAACCTTGAAAAACTCTAGACTACGTCAGCTACATTTGGCCAATGAATGCAAATTCAGTACCAATTTTAGAAAGATTACAACCTTTGTATCTATCTAACTCGCTTTTCATGCCGATATATTAAAATTATACTTAAATCTACTTTGAGCCCTAAGTACGACTTTATAATTCACTGTATTTTTTAAGTTTTTAAGTAAAAAAATTTCATTTACATCACATTGGCTGAAAGTCTGTTATTTTTATTGTTATGAGGTTTCATAATCAGCTAATAAGATATAATTGCCAAACTTCATTATTAATAGAACCTGATAAAACTGAACCAATTTCTTAACATTAAATTTTGATATGTTTGCCTGGTGTTATTGATATTAAAACGTTTATAATTATCTGTACGATATAAAAAAAATTATTTGACGAAAACAATAGGTTTCTTTCCCTCATTTGTCTATAACTGAAATAACATTCTTTTTGACCAGGATAAAAGTTTCAGTTTCAAAATTATCACGCCCTTCGCAGTTTTCTTCGAGCCATTTGTGATTCTCTATTTCTAATTAGATATTACTAAAATCAGAAAAAATTCTTGGGAGAGCATCTGCAGTAGTATATTATTGATATAATTAATCAAAACGTGTTAATCGGCCTTTGAGAATACCATATATGACGAGTTGCTAATCGTTTTAACACAGCCATGTTCGATTTCAAATAAAATGAAAATTATTCAAAATCCTCAAATGTAGTTTGAATTGCTTTGAAAGCGGGATGGATATTGAAATCGACCTAAAACCTTTTCTGCTCTAATCGACGTACGCCAAATAGCTGTAGTAGTTGGTACGTTGAATTTAAATCTCCAAACTGCGGCTACCTCGTAATAAATGCTGCGGCATTATATATTTTGTGGCTGCGGCTATTGGAAGAACGCTTGACAGCCTACTGTGCTGGGCTGGCACATGTTGATTTCGTACAGCCGTTTTTTGTTAATGCTCTGTTAATATCCGGCTATATTATGTTGAGACTTGCTGGCTCTGAATTTTTGCTTTGTCTGGATTTGCATCAAAAATTAATAAATATAAGTAGTTTATATCTTACATTAAAGTACCTATACAATACAGTGCGTCCCAGAAGTAACGCAAAAAATTCGTATTTTATTTTGTATTGAGTTCACAAAAACGCTAAAACACGTCAATTACTAAATAGGAATTGTCGTTTTGTCACGTTGGTTAAACCTTTTTTGCGCTATGTTTCATAAACCTATGACGTCATTGACAATTTTTTTAAATAGCACTACCTATTATAATTTTTTAAGCATAAATGGATAGCCCTTTTGAAGGGCAATGCGTCGATATAGTGTTTGGCCTACTTTACTTTGACAGGTGCAAAAAAAGCCAACGATTGGAATGAACATGATTTGAATTAATAACAAAAGTAGGTATCACAAACTTATGCGCGAACAGTGCTATAGCAAAAAATCTGTTTTGGTTGATTGTAGGTACATGTTTTTGTGTAGATTGGGTAGGTACACCCAATCACAGTGGCTATGTAGGCATTGTTCTGAAGAAGACAGTTAGCGAATGCAATAGTGCCTAGTGCCTCATATCATTGTGACAGTTACAAATACCATAACTTTACATTGCGATGGTGTTGTGTTTAAATGAGAAACAAAGAATTGAAATCCTAATTATGGTTGGATACGGAGATAGGATCCGTAGTTATGATGAAGTATATGTCACTTATTCAATGCCAAGTATCCAGAACAACCAATACCTGCGTCTACAGTATGCAGATTAGTACGCAAATTTGAAGACGCTGGCCATGTTAGAGATCTGTCTAGATCTGGTAGGTCAATGACGGTGATAGAAAATGATAGGCAAAATGTTATGTTTAGCTGTCACTGAAAATCCACACACGTCGTCGTATCGCCGAAAACGCCAACATATCAATACATAAATACGTACTAACAATCAACCAAAACACAAAATATCCACAAATTTCCATTTTTTGCTGTGGCACTGTTCTTGCATCAGTTTGTGATACCTACTTTTGCTGTTATTTTAAACCATGTCCATTACAGTCATTGACTTTTTTTCCGCTCCTGTCAAAGTAAAGTAGGACAAACCCTATATCGACATACCTGCTATTTCCCTTCAAAAGGACTATCCATTTATGCTTAAAAAATTAGGTAGTGCTATTTAAAAAAAATGTCGATGACGTCATAGGTTTATGAAACATAGCGCTAAAAAGGTTTAAGCAACGTGACAAAATGACAATTTCTATTTACTAATTGACGTGTTTTAGCGTTTTTGTGAAAACGCAACACAAAATAAAATACGAATTTTTTGCGTTACTTCTGGGACACACTGTATATAAAAATTATCCATACAAATTTAATATTTGACATGTTACATTTGACTAATTACAACTAAACAAAACAAATCATTTCGTTACCCGGGTGGGAGACGTATAAAATGTTGCATATTCTGCAGGGGCATATTTTACCAAACAATCTTGAAAACAGAATTCTCAGAAAAAAAATATAAATTGTTGCTTTTGATGAGTTAACAATGAAAAACACCATCTTAAAAATAGCAATTTGATATTCTGATGTCTGCTCAATTTAAAAATACTGGATAACGTAGCTTATATGTAAAATGAATGAGAGACATGCATTGTAGCAGAGGCAAACAACTTTCAAAGTAAATATATGATACGTATACTCGTATACGTTTCGTTTATATCTCCGAAATACAATACAACCCAAATTTATTTAAGATCGTAACGGGGGGATTTAACTGATATGGATGGAAACAAACTTTAATAAATTTTAATAAATTTGTCAGGAAATAATTTATCTGCTAAGACATTGACAAAGTTAAGGCTAAATCGCTCTTAGATGCATTTTTCTCTTCTTATTGGCTGCAAATCAGTCCGCCTTTTATTAAACAACCAATAACAATAAAATACACAGCAGGTAGTATATATATACATACAACAGAGGTCGAAACTTACGTTTGTGTTTGTACTCTCAGAGTAATAAATTAGTCTGAGTTTGTACTGTACTTGTACTACTTGTTTCTAGACAGAAATAGTGAGACAGAAAATTTGGGAAGTCATTTGTATTCGGAAAGTGGTTATTCCTATTTGTGATTAATTTAACTGTTGATATCTAGTGATAATCTGACAACCGAAATTAGTAATAAGGTAAAAGTAAATCATTGATTGTAAAGTTGTCTGAAATTAGTATTAATTGTAAACATTAACACGTCTCACATTGTTTTTTATACATTTATATAAATTCAAATAATTGTATAATAATTATT